TCTAGCAAGTCAACCTTTACTAACTTGATGTTCACCAGATAGGTATAAGGTATCTTATTGTTTTAATCTAGGTGCATTTCTTTACTTATAAATGAGGTTGGATAACCTTTTTATATACAAAATCAATTCTTTTTTCATGCCCTTTTCCTGTTTTAGTAGTGAATTGTAATATCAGGTCACATTTGATCTTAAGTGAGAAACCCAAACTGGCTCAAGAAAAAAAAAAAAAAGGAATGAACTGGCTCCTATAGCTAAGAATCATGAAGCAGAGCTTCATGCAAAACTGGATTTGAGACTCGAACATGAGAGAGATGGCTCTTTCTCCGTGCTCTGCCTCACACTGGCTAACTTTAGTAGAAGCAATGGGAACAGCAGCGTCGGCGCAGCTTTGCCTGTTAAGTCCAGCAGGAAAGAGCAAATTTGCTTCCCAGGGAGCTCACCATGGTTGCAGAACTGAGTCTCCTTGATTCTGATTGGCCTTGACTTGGGTCATGTTCCTCTCCCTAAACCAATCGCTTTTGCCTATAAGATACAATGCTCCAATTATTTAAGAAAATTAGCCCTTTGTCATTAGGAAGCAGGTATTTTTCTATTTTATCATATCATTTAAAGTTTTGTTATGGTATTTTTTCAAACATTGTTATTTCCTATAGTCAGACTAACAGTCTTGTCTTACCTAATAGAAAACAGCCATAAAAAAGATGAAGTATTGGCATTTGCAACAGCATGGATGGTTCTTGAGGGTATTATCCTAAGTGAAATAAGTGAGACAGAAAAGGACAAAAATCATATGATTTCATTCATATGTGGAATATAAAATAAAAAAGTAACTAACAAAACAAAAACAAATTCATAGGTACAATAGAATGATGGTTACCAGAGAAAGGGGAATAGGGAGAGAACAAACTGGTTAAAAGGGCTCAAATCTATGGTAATAGAAGGAAACTAAACTTTGGGCGGTGAGCACATAATAGAGTATGCAGATATCACATTACAATGTTGTACACCTGAGGGTGAGTGATGAATGCCTATCCATCCATCCTGCTGGTAATCATACTTGCCATTGGACAGGGTCTCACTTTCACCTTCACAAGCTGTAATAGCTTATATAAACAAACAAAAGAAAATGGAACCCTGGCCAGGTAGCTCAGTTGGTTAGAGCATTGTCCTGATAGGCCAAGGTTGTGGGTTTGATCCCTGGTCAGGGCACATACAATGAATGCATAAATGAGTAGAACAACAGATTAATGTTTCTCTCTCCCTCGTCTCTCTCCCTTCTCCTTCCTCTCTGTCTAAAATCAATCAATAATTTAAAAACAAACAAACAAACAATGCTAGCTCTCTCTTAAACAAACAAAAAATTTTTTTAAAAAAACAGAAAAAGGGAAAAAGAAAACTGAGATAGGTGTTATTCTAGATCTTGACATAGTCCATTAAATTATATTGAGTTTTAATGTGTGGGCTTTTTCAGTTGCAGGCTTTTTAAACCACAAAACCAATGATTTCTAAATATAAGTAGTACTTTCTCTTTTTGTTTTTCAAACAGTGTACTCATATGTCCTTTTTTCTTAAAAAAAAAAGCCATAAACCATTCTATTAGTTTATTTATTTCTTCAAAACAAATGTAAAAGTTCCTTACAATATTTGTGTTCATAGTTTGAGTCTTTGAGTTTTCATTGTGTTTCTTTCCCCTTCCACTCCAATTACCAAGTAGTTGGGTTTTTTTTTTAACACCTTGACTTAATTATTTTTCATAATACCCAAATCAATGAAGGTCTTAGGAGCAAAAATGAGGTTTCCCAAAGACAAACTCCTTCCTGCTGGGCTGCCCTATAGATTTCAAGCTAACCAACTTCCTCAATGACATGAGCCAATTTCTTAAAATATTATCATCTGTCTATCATCTAACTATGTCCTATCAGTTCTGTTTTGCTGAGAAGCCTACTACAGGTGGGAACTGTTATTTTCCCTGTTTTAGAAATAAAGGGGTTGAGGTTTGAGAATACTTCGCTGGCTTACACAGTTGGTAAGCAGATCCTAAACTTCAACACCTATGTTGGTTCCAGAGCCCTTAAAAGTGACCATATCATACTACTTGAGACAAAGAAAAACTTTGCTGGCTGGATAGATCACTGGAGTTTTGTGCTAATTTTTACTCATTTTTAAAAGGTCCATGAGACGGCCCAGAAGTTTAAATGAATCTAGACCAAGGCACAGAGTATAAATCAGTTCTTTTCAGCCTTTGTGCTGCCTGCCCTCCCTGCCACATAACTCTTCATGGCTGCTTTTATGTTATCAAAGAATCTGTGCTATGGTCATATGTAACAGAATATAGTCTTTTTAAATTTGTTTTAATCCTCACCTGAGGACATTTCTTATTGCTTTTGTAGAGAGAGGAAGGGAGAAGGAGAGGGAAAGAGGGGAAAAAATCGATGTGAGAGAGAAATATGGATCAGTTGCTTCCCATATGCACCCCGACTGTGGATCAAGCCCATAACATTTTGGTGTATGGGACAACGCTCCAACCAACAGAGCCACCGGGCCAAGGCAGAATATGGTCTTCTTAAATAGATCATTCTTTGGATAATATAGCAGGGTAGCAGAATAGAGAAGATCCACTTGAAATCCCTTAAAGGTGGTTTAATCTCCTATACGCAGCTGTTGTGGGCAAACAGCTGGAATTGCTTTATTGATTGTCTGCCTACTGAAACCAGGTTGTGTTTTCAAGCTTCCAGACCTGCATCATAATCCTGAAACCAGATACATATGCTCGTCACTGCAGAGCCCAGCACTTGCTGAGTGTTATTTTCCTGAACAAAAATCACACATTCTACAAATTAGAGCCAAACCCGAATTGTACAGGGCTGATAGAGTTTTTAAAGCCACACATACTTTTAAAGAGACGTCCTTTGAGAAAGAATACAGAGCTTTTGGACAGAAGTGTTCAGTTGAGCAAAAAGTTCAGAATGGCCCAAAGTAGAGGCTGGAAAAATTAGAGAGTCTGGGGAAATTAAATGGACTGAAAGTAAATTTAAATGTCTACTTGCCAGGACCATAGGAACATTCACTTTTAGGGAAAGTCTCGATTACACGATGAAAAGGCCCATGAATTCTCAGAGTCAAATGATAACAGGAGCGGAAAAGAGAGAGGCCCTTCTACGTGTGGGTGAAACTACTGCCAGTTTGGTGGTCTGATGGGTTTTTTTTTTTAAATGATATCATTTGTAAAATGGGTTTAAAATAATATTTTGACTAGAGATTTCACATCTCTAAAAGGTATTAATTATTTTGGAATTTCCTCCAATGTTTAGATGCTTTGTGTTTTGAAGACACTGATTGATTGAGTTAATCTACAGCTGCTTCTGGGTGCTCAGCAATTTTCACTGTCTTGTTGCTACGAGACAGGGTTTCTCTGAAATCGCCATTGTGACAGGCACAGTGAAGTGGTGGGCTCTGCCTACTAGCCACAGTGCCATCAAGTGGTCATTCTGCAAAACAACTTGACAAAGTTGGTTTGCATTTCCACTAATTAAGGCACCGTGAAGTCGTCTCTGTTCCAGGTAAATTAGTGTGTTAACCAACAGTGAGGAATTATTCTCTTCATATTCTTCAGCACACAGTGAGGATTTTTTTCCTTCAATAAATGATTCATGTTGTGGCAAGGAGAATGGCGAAAGGATATTGGACTGGTAGTAGAAGGCACTTTAGTTCACCCTTAATTTGACCTCTCGGTCTTAATTTCCTCTTCTAAACAATGAGGGGCTTGTGCTAGGGTCTCCCAACATACCTTCTACTCTAAAAACCTCTATTTCTTTGTTTCTTTTACATGTGGTTTTTACAGAGAGTGAGAGCCTCAAAACTGACCCTAGTCAAGCAACTCCAAAAGATCTTGGTCGTGTTGCTTTGAAACCGTGTCTGAGCAGGTAGCAGCAATGCTAGAGAGGTAAAGTGAAGGACAGTATCCACCAGGAGAGGCAAAACTTCCAAACTTATCTAGCAAATGACTGCCCCCAATGTTTGGTGGGTAGTATTGTCCTTCCTGAGCAAGGACTCGGGCCCAGGAAGGTGGCTCCAGGCATCCAGGGTAAACCTAGGACAGAAGGTCCACAGGGAAGCACCTCTGAAGAGGATGGGCAGGCTGGTTACACTAATGCTCTCACTGAAGGTTAGAAGAAAAGGAGAAATTTGAATTCCGCTTCAAAGGATGCATCCCTATCCCTTCCTCTGAGTCTATGGGAACCTGGAGCCAGACAGAACTGCCTCTACTCTGAACCCTACCCCACCCTCCATTGCCACCTTTCTTGAATTCCTGTTTGGAAGACACATGAATCCAGATTCACGGTGCACATCGCTGGGTACCAAGTAAGGAGGCTGGAATAATTTTCTTATTTCTTATTCTCTCCAACTTTTGTAAGTTGTCTTTCCCTAAGAATCCTGATCAAAATTCAATCACAGAAGGCTGTCCAGCAGTTCCAGTGTATTTTCAATACTGCATATGGAGTGCTTTCTGGACAATGATTACTTAGAGGAAGGTAATATAAAAACATATACAATATTAACACTTCTTAATGTTCCTTAGTAAAAGACATAGTCTCTGAAATGTGTGACAGAGTGGATTTCATTTAAAACAGAAGCCCACAGTTATAGCATTTCAGGAGGGAGGAGAAAACGGAAACAATAAAATTTGGTTGATTCATCAATCAAAGACTGTGTATGGTTTATCCATTTTGAACCTAATGGTAAATAAAAAGTAGGAACGTATTCTCTTTTTGTGCATGTAACTAATACAATAAAAGGAGCTCAAGGTGAATGCTTTCCCTAAAACAAAAAGTAACTAAAATTAAAATCATAAAAACTATAATCGATAAGTGAGTGCATTTTACAAAAGAAAACACTTCTCTCAGAAAGTTGATTGAAAAAATATATAAATAGCTTCTGTTTTTATAGTCAAAGCTTTTTAATTTCTGGTGCATAACAACAACTGAAAGAATTCTGAGATACTAAACAAAAGTGTTTGGTGGGTTTGAGTTGATGGGCCAAGCAAGCTTTTTTTCCTTGGCTTCTCTGTCAAATGAATCATAGATTGAGTCTTTGGTGATAGTCTTGGCCACAGGAGGGATTTCTGAAATGCCAACATAGTTTTTTTTGGCCATCCTTGAACTGGTTGTGATCGTATAGGCATTGCTTCGGTAACATTTCATCGAGGACATGCAAAAAGTCTCTTTCATTCCTCTCCTAAAACTGGCATTATAGATTGAATACAGAGTAGGTTTAGAGGCTGAAGAACTAAAGGATATCCATGTGATCGCTGTGAAGACAAGGGAACTTTTCTTATAGTCTCGTTCATGGGGGTGCCACAGCTGAGCTACATGAAAAGGCAGCCAGGAAAGCAAAAACAATAGGTTTAAAATGAGGAACATCTTGACAGTTTTCACTTTTGTCCTTGGGACAATGTTCATTGTCCTCCTCACAGTCCGGCCGTCAGTGCCTATCCTCCAAATATACTTTATGACCTTCTGGTAAAATAAGATTATGAGGACAGATGGAATCACAAAGCCCACCAAGAAATGGATGACAGTATAGGCTGTTCCCTCCCAAGAGGAAGGTAGGAAATAGTTACAATGATTGTCCCAGCTGGACCCATAGAAAAAGAACACAGGGGCCACAAAGGCTGCGTCGAAGATCCACGATGCTGCAATCATTTTTTTGGCTTTTTCTCTGGACACCTTGAAGCTCAGAGGATAGACAATGGTATAGAACCGGTCTATGCAGATGGAGAGGAGAACATAGATCTGGACGCCGGGGGTGAGATACTGAAAATACCGCACAACCTTGCACATGGCACTGCCGAGGGTCCACCTCCCGGTGGTGAACTGAAGCAGGACGAAAGGTGAGCTGGCCACGCTGATGAGAAGATCGGCGCACGCCAGGGAGACCACAAAGTAGTTGGTGGTGGACTGAGTCCTCCTACTCCTGTGGATGACCAAACACACCAGGGAATTGCCGAAGACAGACAACAACCACAGGGTCCCAAAGAAAATGCTGGCTGTGGCCACTTCCCCAGGCTTCAGTGCATACTGCAGGCCTGTTCTGTTGCTCATCCAGCCGTGCTCCTCATGTAATTCCGTGAGGTCGTGGCTTGGCAGCGGCGTGGCTGTTTCAGGGAGGCTGTGGTTTTGGAAGGGCGCCAGCAGTGTCGGACTAACCAAAGGCGGCTTGCTGTTATCCATTCTGTGAGCAAAAACCATATTCATTTTGTCCCTCTTAGTTCTGGATAAGAAAAGAAGAATGAAGCCTCCTGTTAAAACGGTGTTATAGAGAGTGATTTCCTATCTTATTTGAACTTAGATTGGTTGTCATTTGTCAATGAGTAGGACTTGTGTGCTGGCAGGAAAACATGACTATTATTCAGAAAAAAACTCTGGCTCCATTTCCCTTTCCTTTCAGGAGCTGTTTTATCAGATCCCAGCGCAGGCTCCCTTTGGCCTCACCCTCTGAACCCTTAGTCAAATGTGGTAGAACTCATACCAAACCCCACTCCTGAACATACCCTTGTTCCCTTCATTCACTGGGAAGAGCAGCGCGTTGGAGAGCTCACAGTAAGAGTGTTACCCCCAACTGAATAGACTGAATAGCTGTTGGAATTCTGTGCAAGTGAGAAGTTCCTGAATGTTTTAACACTAAAGTGGTGAGGCTGCAAGAGAGGAAAACTCAGGCCGAGACAAACACTCAGATGTCAGTTATGGAAACAGCTCATAGGAATCTATGAATACAGGTTGGTGGGCTACTGGAAAGGGCCCTCCCTGGCTTATTGCAGAATGTCCGTTACAGAAGCATTATGGAAGCACATGGAGCAACCATCTATAAACCGCTGCATGAGCCGGAAGTAGCTCCTAATGTAAGGACATCTGAAAATAGCCTGCTTTTTCCAAAAGATCATGCGGCTCATGTACTAAAGCTTGCCACCAATCAATGACATTGGTTAATGCTGTTTGCTAATTATTGTTTCTTAAGATGACATGTTGACTGAAGAACGTATGAGAGGTCTTCTAAAGAATGTAATCAGGTTACTAGACACCTTATGGCATTCAGATGATTAAAAACAACCAGATATAACTGTTCCTTAGCCACTTTTTTTAAGAGTTTATGATCCTTAGATATAAAAGAATATTATAAAGTTTAGCATTTATCTTTCTGCACTATTCAGTGAGGGAAAGATATTACACTTTTTAATAGGTGAAAAGATTGCATAATTGTGGGCCATTTGATTAAAATTGAGGTGACTTTGATCACAGTGGGATTGTTAATGTTTAAGTTGGTCTGAATCTATTAAACAAAAGAGAAAGCAATTGAATCCATAATAACCAGAGCAATTACGTCAGGGCCGGCGGCACAGGACTGGGGGCAGGGCGGGGGGGGGTGTGGAGGTCCGGCACCAGGATCTCAGAAGGCCTAGTGCCCCTTCGGTGGGCTCCGGGGACTGCGCCTCACAGAGAAATGTTTCTGAAGGTTTAGAAGTGGGATTAAAGAACAGTTCTTAATGACCCATTTTTCCTTGAAGGTTTTTGCACTAATTTGTGGTAGGGAGAGAAGTGTTAACATATATTGTCTTCACCAAGAAACCACATTCAACGAAAGTCTGGAGCTCAGAGCAATGTATACTAAGTGCCAGTTCCGTGTTACTTTCAGGCCTTTTTTTTTGTTGTTGTTGTTGTTCAGGAGGCAGCCCTACTTAATTCCTCAAAGAGAAATGTAAGATAATTAGACATTTTGACAACTAAAAGATCTTTAAGCATGGTTGGCCAGTTCACAGTCAGTTGTAAGAATAGCAAGCATACTTTCCGTATTAAAAAATCAGGACACAGTTTAAAAACAGAACATAAACTCTAAAATTAGCACTGTCCTAGAAAATCTAGAATGCATGACCCTCATTCTTATGAAATGCAAATAATCTTTTCACCTTCATGTGTAAAGCATGTAAGATGTCAAAAAGAGAAGCAAAACAATTTTTAAAAAATATTTAAAGTTTAAAAATAAAGCAGATGAACACTTTTTTCAGACAGAAAAACCTGTTGCTAACTGTCCGGGGATCCTGTGGCCTAAATAAAACAGGAGTCAGCGGCAGAGGCCCTTTTCCACAGTCAGTAACACTTAAAAACCTGTGAACTTCCTTTTGTTTCCCTCGAGGCAAAACTCTGCTCTGAAAGATGGAACTAGATCACCCCTACAACTCAAGTCCTATGAGGCCTTCTTCCGTATTTCCTTCAGCGACTTCACACCAGTAAGCGTGTCTGCTGATTCCTCCGGTCCCACCACTTGGAAGCAGAGGATCCTGATGCTCAGAAATGGGACAAGGGAGCCTGGGGTATTCCTAAGCCTAAATCTCCCCTGATGATGGCCTGACTTTCTGACTCGACCCAAAGTTGCTACAGCTCTACTCGTTTGGTGAACAAACCAAGAAACTTTGTTGGGTACTAAGGAAACAAAGATAAGTTAGGCCCGTGAAGGGGTAAATGTATAAACAAACTGTCTGCCATTTTATAACTAAATTTTATGATAATTATAATTAACTGCTAAAACCAGATGAGGAGCTAAGTGCCAGAGAAAAATAGGGCCCCAATTTTGCTTGGGAGAAGGGAAGAAAAAGGAAGGTTTCACAAAGGAGGTGAGGTTTGAAGTGGGGCTTTAGAGAAGGTATGGGAGTCTTTCAGGAAGAAAAGGGAGTAAAAAAAAAAAAGGAAAAGAAATGAAAGGAAAACTCTAAGGGAAAGAGAGAGAGGGAGAGCGAGCGCATGTGGAATGAATTTGGGGGTCGTCTTTCTGGGTTGATCTTTTTTGGGCCCTTTTCTCCTTTAGAGACATAGTTTCCTGCAGACTGTACCTCCCAGAGTATATAGTTTCTACATGTCCTACAATCAAACTGACCTAAATTTTTCCCATGGTTACAATGAGAGGCTATATTTTCTGCATTCGTGGGCTGCAATGTGGTCAGACAGCAGATAGCAGTATTAGCATATCCAGAATGGTTGTGGTATCCTTGTTCTAACAGCACTTTGTTAGTCCTTTACTGCAGCATTTTCCACTTCTTTTGCTTTAGACCCATGGTTCTCTAGCTTAGCAACACACTGGTCTTTCCCAGGGAGCTTTATAAAAATACTGATGCCTGGGCCCTACCCCAGAACTCTAATTGGTCTGGAGGGCTGCCTGCTCATCGGGATGTTTCAAAGTTCCCCAGGTGATCCTAATGTGCAGCCAGGATTAAGGATCACTCCTTGACAAGTACTTCCATGTTTCTGTCTTCGCTCACTACACTGTGGCTCTCAGAAGGAACCATACATTGAACTTCTCCCAGGCTCTACAGCCTCCATTGACGTTCTTTACTCTAGTAATTGCTTATTAAATATTTACTCAGTCAAGTCCCCAAGGACAGAGAACTGAAATACAGGGCTCCTACTCTACGGGGCTCTGTGCAGGGAATTACAAGCACTCAGAGCCCATCATTGTGTATTCTCCTGCAGCTGACACATTGGTGACCATGGAGATAGGGGGACACCTAAGAGCAGGGCCGGTGAAATTGAAGTCACCCAGGTCAGCATGTAACAGAATTCTCATTTGAGGGAGAGGGAAGGTAGTTTAGGTGTCCTCAAACAGACTCCCAAATCCCCCTCCTGGAAAAAATAGCCTGCCATGTTATAACCAAAGACTAGGGTCCCAAAGTCAAACTTCAGAAAGGTCTCCCTTGCTCCATTAATTTGGAAATAAATACATCTTCAAAGGAGTGTTTTGGAAAAATAAGGACTGCTTAATTAGTAATTATTTCCAAGTCATCTGTGTGCAGTAATTTTAGGAGCGACGGGAATGACTTCTTCACCTCTTTTCTGCTCAACCTCTCTCTTCCCAACCAGGCCTGATGCTGCCATATGACACACTCCCCTGGGTAAAAATATATTTCTATAAATTAGCTGAGAGAGGAATAATTCATCTACCCATCTCTAAGAGCTGTGTGTTAATATATACCTGGGGGAAATGGTGGATAGGCTGACATGGTATAGAACCAGGGAGTGGGTGGACCCTGGTAACGATGAGATCCTGGGAGCCTGGGCGGGGGATATGACTCTCACTTTATATCGCTATAAATTCCTTGAGGACATAGACTGCATCTTTATCTGTATATGCCTGGAGAAAATCGATATTAATAAAAGTTTATTGCACAAACAAATGGATAGATGTGTTACTAAAAATGATACAATGCTTGAAAATAAGTAAGTGAGAGTATAACAAATCTTTTTCAAGTCATGCCAGGACATTGTTAGATGGGCTTCTCCAAGAATTAATTCTCTGGGAGAATGTATCTGTGCTTGGTTTTGCTATTTACTATGGGACTGGAGCCCAGACATTGTGAAGTTACATGTTAACATGCAGATTTCTGTCTAGCAGAAAAATAACACTAAAGGTTATAGATTTATTGCCCTGTAGGACATTAACTAGTTTTGTGACTACCTAGAAATCTCATGCTGACATCCTTTTAAAAAAACAAAAGCACAAAGCCCTATAAATACTTGTTTCTTCAAATGCTATTGGAATCAACCTTATCTCATCAGTTCCTTCGGTAATGAGTTAATAAATCTTTGACATGTTCATGCTGTATTTGTGGGAGAATCATGACTTTAACTTTTTGAAAATCATCTTTGATGGGTAGATGAATGGATGGATGATTGTGACTAATGAGAGGACTGCATTGAGAACTAAAGGGGCACAGATGACAAGCTGGTCACCTGGCCGTTCTGCCTGGGGCTATTCCTGGCTGAGCTCATCAACTGTTGGTTAGGTTTCTTTCAGACTCAAAAAGTCCTAATGAATGATTTTTTACCCCTCTTAAAATGATAAAGATTTACGGACATTCCCACAATGTAGGCAGACCATTTTTATTTCTGAGATTTGTTCAAAAATTTAATGTCAAACCAGAATTTGTATAATGAATTTTCATATGATTTGGTTGCGGGGGGCAGGGGAGAGGACATTTTCTGTAGAATAGGAAGTATCCACTGGACCTGCACATTTACGTAAGGCTGTTTATTAATGAGCAGTAAGGCCAAGTACAATGTCAGCCGTTGCAATATCAATACTACCAAGAGCTGATGCTTACTTTGTGCTTACTATGTGTCAGATATTTATACGTGTAGTCCTTAGAGGTAGGAAATATGATTGGCCCTGTTTTACAAGTGAAAAAAAACCGAAGCTCTTCCCAAAGGACAGACAGTTGGAAAGGG